TACTTTTTAAATAGATTTTTTGTATCTTTTATGGCGTTAATCTATCCTAAGATTTAGTGTATTTTTTCAGCAGATTTAATGTTGTTCTTTTAAAGGGTTTTGTAATTGTTATTTTATGTTAAAAATTTTTTTATTACTAATAAAAATGCTATTATAATGCATTATTTTTTTATTTTAAATGAAAAGGTTATTATTTTTTTTTTAATGTAGGGTTTTACTGTTTTGGTTTTGGGGGTGTTGGTGGATTTTATTGGAAATTTTAAGAGAGGTGTTTTTTTTAAATGAGGGTTATTTGTTTTGTTTAAAAAAGGGGCTGTTGTTTTTTTTAGTTTCTTTTTAAAAATTTTCAAGGGTTTTTGGTAATTGTTTTTTTTGTAAAGTATAGGTTATTTTTGTTTTTGGGGTAATGATGGGTTTTTGTTTTGCTAAATCTTTTCTTCTTTGCGTTCAAAACTGAAAATCTCTAGTGGAAATTTTCGGGTTGTTGTCCCTTCTGGACTGCAGTACTATTCCAGAACCAAGTATGGGTGGCATCCTTTTACAGATCTGAACTTTATTCAGATGTTGGTTTTTTCCCCCAACAGATGCCCCGACTTTGAAAGTGTGTGTGGGTGAGCGTGATTGTGTCTAAGTATATTTGTGTCTGGTTCGTGTTCTAGAGGGAGGTGTTACAGAGGGCATGGAAAAGTAAAATTTTACTCTACCAGGCATGCCGTTTAAGGCAGCTAGGTCTCGAGGTAGGGTTAGCATTGGCAGTCTTATTCCGTTAAATGTAATAACCTGAAACATCAAACACCTATTGGGATTACGCTAAAATGGGGAGGAAGAACACACACATATATACACACTTGTGTGTGTGTATATATATATAGATACACACACACACACACACACATGCGTTTACAAACCTGGACAATCAGATATTACTGGGGTCATCGGAACTTACAGCTGAAGATGGAGACGGAGCGCTTATGGGAGTGTCCCTGTTGTTATGATGTCGATTCTTAATTCGCAATTCAACATTCAACACACACACACACACACACACTCATATATATATATATATATGTGTGTAAATGTATATCCATTTTTCTTTTATTATGGTATTCTTCTTAAACAAGGATAAGCGTATTTAACGATGATAAGATTACATATCTTGTTTGAGAGATTCCTTCCATGGAAGTGTTGCATAGAACAACGTTTGACGTAGGACTGTGAATGGAAGACAATTGAAAAGAAACCAACATATTCCTTGAAGTCTCAGCGATGTAGTTTTGTAGAACAATGCTTAACATTCCTTGCATAGTCAAAACGAGTAATCATCTGAAAGGAGCAAAGACAGGAAGATAGCGTATTAAAAACATCTAAAATAGGCAAGTACACTAAGTCAACTTATCATAAATTTTTACAGAAGAAGGCCGAGACATGAAAAAAAAAATGTATCATAAACATCTGAAATAGGTTTAGACCCGAGGACAGGTTGTATAAATATCTGAAGATACCGAGACGTGAGGGCAAGTTATTTGTAAACATCTGAAAGAGGCCAAGACACAAAGACAAGTCATCACACACATCAGACTATGCCACAAAGTCAAATTATCACCAACATCAGAGAGATACACTGACCGTTAGGGGATGGGCCAGAACAATTACTGACAGTTTTTTTTTTCAAATGTATCATGACCTAGAATTCTGTCAGCTGAAAATTGAAACATGGACAAAAACCTAAAGTGGCTTCAGACAGTTGGCAAGTCAACTGATCTTGTTGACGATGATTTCGATGGTGATGACTGTGTGACAAAGATGTCATGAAGATATGATGATGATGCATGATGATGATGGCCCTATTGTAACACAATCAACCCTTCACTTGCAGGTCTGTTCGTGCCTTCAGCTCTGACTCTTGCTGTGTGTTTCTTCGACGAGTCACGGACTGTTGCAGTATCACTGCTGGTGGCGGCCGTCGGCATTAGTGGCTTCACAATGGCGGGCTACAGTGTCAACCACCTGGACATCGCCCCGGCGTTTGCAGGTAAGTGTCAACCATCTGGACATCGCCCCGGCGTTTGCCGGTGTCAACCATCTGGACATCGCCCCGGCAAATTGTTTACTCACACGTCTGATCACGCAATACACTGTTTACCCACAAGGCTAATCATTCAACATATTATTTAGTTCTAACACACATCAGATTGTTTACTCACTACTTCAATCACTTAGCAAATCGTTAACTCCCTAGTCTAATCACTAAACACATTGTTTACCTTTTAATTCAACATCGCAAATTGTTTACTCACAAGCCTAATTACTCAACAAATTGTTTACTTCATATCTAATGGCTCAACACATTGCTTACTCACCATTTCAATCACTCATCAAACTGTTTACTGCCTGTCTAACCACTCAACAAATTGTTTACTCAGTAATTGAAGCACACTGAGATTCTTTAGTCACTAATGCAATCACTTAACACTGCAGATTGTTTATCCACTACACTTATCATGAAACACATTTTTTACCCACTGTTTCAGGCACACATCAAATTGTTTAATCACTAGTTTAATCACTAAACAGTTGTTTATTCACTAGTCTAATCACGAAGCACATTGTTTACCCACTATTTCAAGCATACATCACATTGTTTAATCACTAGTTGAATCACTCAACCAATTGTTTACTAAGAAGGCTAATCACTCCACACATTGCCTACCACTAGTTCAAACATACATCAAACTGTTTTATCACTACTTCTATCATTCGACGCAATGCAGCAAGTGCACCACAGATTGTTTACTCACTAGTTAAGTTGCTCATCAAATTGATTACCCAACTAGTTCAAACATACACTAAACTGTTTGATCACCAGTTCGATCATTCAACACATTGTTTACCAACTAGATCAAGCACACGGCAGATTGTTTACGAACTAGTTCAATCACTCCATACATTTTTTACTTAATAGTGCAAGCAAACATCACATTGTTTACTCACTAGTTTAATCACTCAACAAATTTGTTTACTCCCTAGTCTAATCATTCAACACATTGCTAAATCAATAGATCAAGCCCGCCACAAATTGTTTGCTCACTAGTTCAGTCACTAATAAATTGTTTACTCACTTGTTCAGTCAATAACAAATTGTTTACTCACTAGTTCAGTCACTAATAAATTGTTTACTCACTAGTTCAGTCAATAACAAATTATTTACTCACTAGTTCAATCACTCGACAAATTGCTTTATCGCAATGCTAATCCATCAGCTGCATACGTTGTCACTTCCCAAACATATAGGTGTTAGTTAGTTATTTAGTTAGTTTGATTTGGTTAGTCGAACAGGTCTGTTCAACGCACTGAAGAAGATTGGGTGTCCACTTCTACGGAACATTATTGAGTCGTTCTACACAGGTATGATAAGTACGATCAACTGTGATGGTGTAACATCGGTGGAGTTTTTAATCAAAAATGGAGTATAGCAGGGGTGTGTACTTGCTTCTACCCTCTTTGGAATATACTTTTCACTTCTTTTGACACATGTCTTTCGAGATCAGGAGGGTGGTATTTTCATTCATTCTCGATCTGATGACAGCCTTTACAATGCTCGCAGGCTGAAGATCAAAACCTGGATAAGAAAGGTACTTATCAGAGAGCTGCTGTTTGCAGATGATGCTGCAATAACCACCGACTTAGAGGAGGAGCTGCAATGTTTACTATCTGCCTTTGCTGGTGCGTGCTGTGAATTTGGACTAACTGTCATCAAAAAGAAGACAAAGGTTATGGTGCAAGGTTTCAGTGACAGACCTACAGTCTACATTGATGATGAAGAGCTTGAGACAATATAGACCATTTTACCTACCTGGGTTCCACAGTGAATTGTAAACTATCCCTGGACCAAAAAAATCAACATCAGAATAGGTAAGGCAGCAAAAACAATGAGCAGATTGACAAAGAGAGTTTGGGAAAACAGAAAGCTCACAATTAAAACAAAAACCCTTGTCGAGCAGGCTTGTGTTCTCAGCACTCTGCTTTATAGCAGTGAAACTTGGTCAACCTATTTGCACCAGGAGAGACTGCTTAATAGCTTTCTCATGCGATGCCTAAGAAGAATACTTGGCATTAAGTGGCAGACAAAATCACAAACGCTGAAGTACTGGAAAGAGCAGGTACTACAACAGTCTTTTCCATGCTCAGCCTACGAAGGCACAAGTGGCTGGGTCACACCTGCAGAATGGAGGATGACAGAGTCCCTAAGGACATCATTATGTAGAATTAAAGACAGGAAGAAGATGTCGAGGCCGACCTCTACTACGTTATAAAGATGTGTGCAAGCAGGACATGAATGATAAAGGTATTGAGATGGACTCATGGGAACAAAATGTCATGGACCGTGTTGTGTGGAAGGGAATGGGACTGAAAGAAGAAATAATTGCAGAAAGGATGAGAGCTGAGAGTCTGAAAAGAAAAAAACAGGATTAAACACAAATGTTGTTAACAATGGTCCTGAAATCCCATGCTATCATTGTGGAAGACATTTCTTGACATGGGCGGGTCTTGCTAATCATACTCGCCATCGCCATGGACTGTAAGTCTCATGCCTCCTCATAGCGCAATATAACACTATCGTCTGAAAAGACGAAAAGGTGCCAGTAATGATAGCTGGGTTATCATCGTATCACTCCAGACATGTCCATAGGTACTCAGATCCTCCCCTCAGTATGAACCCCAACGTCCGATGGCTAATAGTACAGGTTCTATGTTGATTAATAAGTCTTCTGGTGTGCGTCTCGTTTTTTGCTACGCCGATCTTAATTCCCAAGTCTGCAATTCAGGCGAATGATGTGGATTCACTGACCCCAAAGTCTCTATACTTCCTATTTCTCTCAGGGGAATTATTAATATCATCATGATCCATAGGCTAACCGTCGGTAGTAGTTCTCCTTATCCGTCTACGGGTTGTTTTGAATGGGTAAATTGTCGCCATCGGACGTCGAATACATCCTGAGGGAAGCCTGAACTCACGTGCATGTACTCCATTGCACGGTTCAGATCCTATTGCGATGAAACTTTCAAATTATTTTCTTTTAGTTGCGTATCTTTTACAGGACGTTGCAGAACCAAACACCAGCAGCCCCTGGCTGTTGTGTGGTTTCTCTAGGCAAATTTAAGTCCAATAGTTTGCCATTGCTACATGGACGGTCGGCCCCCTGATACCACTGTCTAAACCAACGCAAGGCTCACGGCCTGGAGCTGGGATCGAACACGGCACCCCGGCATTACGAAGCGTTCGCATCGACTTAGCCACAGAGCCGACTTTTCACATTATAAGTGAGCGAAAATAGCAAATTTGCGCCATTCGGTGGAGTTGGTAGTCTTTGTTGTCAACAGTCTTCTGTCTCTTAACTTTTCTAAATAACTGCTAACACAAATGATTCCCCCACGCAATAATATTTTTTAGTCCAGCACTCCTTTTCTTTGTTACCCCCCTTTCCCCTCTAAATTTCAGGTTGTTACGATACACTAGAATTTCCCCTTCTCATGATGCGACCAGATGTAGATGTTGAAGCATATGTGTAGATTTTATAAGATGACTCACTGTAAAGTTAAGCGATTTTATGTATTCTTGTTTATTTACAATTTAACAACAAATGAGCAGAAAAACCGCACGCCTAAAAAACTATCGATGACCCAGATGCAAAAGAAATGTCGGCTGGTTGAACTCTAAGGTACTCTATGCAGTCTGAACCATTTCGCTCATTATATTCTAAAGATTTTAAATGTTAAAGTATGATAAAAGTATGTCACTTTCAGTTAACTATGCGTTTCTGTTGTTGAGCAGTATAATTTATTGTGTTATTGTCGGTTTGTGTCATATATTGAAGAAGGCTTTTTAGCCGTAACGTTTACTTTGTCGTTAATTACTCTGCTATTGTAAAGCTGACTATATCTACTTCTTGTCCGGATTGACTTTTTTGCTCTGATGTGCCTTCTGGCAGGAACCTTGTTTGGGATCACCAATACAATCGGGACGACCACCGGCTTCATCGGGCCGGTGATACTTGGCGCTCTAACTAAACATCAGGTGAGATTCTCACAGTTGCTTTATCACATCTCCATGACAATTACCACTAACTATAACTCACAGTCTACAGCAGTCCAGAAGAAATTGTTTAAACACTCCTCGATACAATCAAAGAGGAAAACATTTGTTTTGTTTTTGCGACTCCAATACAGATTTGATCCCAGTTACCGACAGTGATCCCGAGATCTGACTGCCCGTAAGCAGTGACAAACTACTGAACGTAAAATTCGCCTTAAAAAACCACAACAGTCAAAATATGCTAGGGTTGGTTCTGTAACGTCCTGTAAAGGATACACAGCTAGCTTTAATATAGATTTACTTTGTTTATCAAAATGAAAGGTAGAAGTTCTGTGACAGGCCTTCGACAGTGAAAGGCGGTCTTTTTAGGACCCTTTCCACGCCTTTAAGAGTACTGGGCATATAGGGCTAGCTCTATATTTTATAAACCAATCGGCACCCATCGCCCGCCTTTACTTCCTGAGACTGCATCTGGTACCCAGCAAAGGTTGACCAAGGAGTCAATGTCATATTTAAAAAAAAAGAAACTTCCGGCTCTGTTAGGACCCGAACCCACGACCTTCTGGTCCGCAGGCAAGCGACCAGTCGCTACACTTTGATAGTTCGCCGCGACAGTTAACTCCAATTACTGCCTTTATAGACCACTTCTGCGGTTAAGGTAGGGGAGTCTTTTGAGCCTGATTATTTACGGCCGAATGGCTAGTGCTGTCGCCACGACTGAGCATGTTGGAATTGTATTTTATCCCCCGACAGAAACAGTCCCCAGCCTTACCGAGAATTTGAACCCAGGTCTCTCACATGAGAGCCCTGCGTTCTAACCGTTCGGCCAGCCGCTCCTCGCGACAAGTGACACTAAATTTAATTCACAATCTACATTAGCGGTTCAAAACTGGCCCTTTGGAAATACTCGGGGTCCGAGGAACAAGTTTAAAGGGTCCATTATACCCCCCCCCCCAACTCAGCCTTTGGGGGGGGGGAGGAGGGCTGCGTAGTCTGGAGGCGTTACATCCGCCTCGAGTGCCGAAGGTCCTGGGTTCACGCCCCTGTGAAGGCTGGGATTTTTCTCACGTGGACTCCTAGTAATATTCTCTGGTCTCTGGGTAGTAAGATCGGATACCCGTGTGTATTGTTGCGCACGTAAAAACTCCTTTGGCAGTTGAAAATCGAAAAGAGTAGCCTAACGTCGCTGCCTGGGCAAAATTTAGAGTTAAACTTCAACCCAAAGAATTTCAGGATCCTCGCCGGTGCAACGGAGTTTTTGCACTGCGCTGAGATTCTTTAAATCCACGTTTGAGTTACAAGTAGAACGGAGTGCTTGTGGGTTACACCCGTGTGCACCGATGTTGACCAGTCGAAAAAAATGCACATAATATTCACCATCATTCTCAAACTAAGCCAGTTAACACTGTCAGATTGATAAGAAAAGGAAAATTATTATCAAAGAACTATCATTATCAACAATTTTCATAATCATCATTTTAATCATATACCCTCAGTGTCATTATTATTTACACTATCGTAACAATTACTCATTTTTATAAGTATCTCCCCTATCAAAATCATAATTAAACATACTATCGTTATCATCATCACCTTTCTCCTCAGCAACCGACTGCTCCTCCTCATTCTTGTTTTTGTTTTTCTTCTTGTCCTTGTTCATCATCCTCATCCTCCTCCTCCTCATCATCATCATCATCATCATAGTCATCATCATCTCTTCTTCTTCTTCTTTCTTTCTTTTCTTCTTCTTCTTCTTCTTCTTCTTTTTCTTTTTCTTTTTCTTCTTGTTCTTGTTCTTGTTCTTGTTCTTGTTCTTGTTCTTGTTCTTCTTCTTCTTCTTCTTCTTCTTCTTCTTCTTCTTCTTCTTCTCCTTCTCCTTCTTCTTCTTCGTCTTCTCCTCCCCCCACCCTTTGTGTACACGCGTGTGTAGGTCTGTGCACGCGCGCGTGTGTAACTATTTTACTCATAACGTAAAGGTGAATCTCCAACCTGAAATGGTAAACATGTATGCTATAAAAACTCTAAACCTCGTAGGGTTTATTTCAAACTGCACTGTTCGCTTCACGAATGGAGCGCACACAAATCTTTGCCAGTACTTTGGCTGACGCTCTCAGTAAGCTCTTCTGAGTTCTTCCCAGTCACAGGAGATAACACCAAGTTCATTGATCTATTACATGTTTAATCACTATTACCCTTGTCTCTTCCAGAACTCGCCGCAGCACTGGAATACATTCTTCTACATCACCTCAGGGATCTTCTTCACCGGAGGTTTGCTGTTTCTACTGTTTGCCCAGGGAGAGATCCAAGACTGGACCTCTGCAACACTTGACTGCTCAATTCAAGACTTAGACGGCCACCACAGCAAACCTGTTTGTACAGATTTGGAAAACACAACAGGCTATACAAAAACAAAGACATCAGTGAAAAGTACTGGACCCAATGATACGCCTTGATAGGTGTTTTGAGGGTATAGATTTAGTCCAGTATCATTAGGCTGGTCGGTCAAGTCGGTACTCGACGAGATAGTTTAGGCATCTCACCAGAAGGCTCTGGTATCAATCCCCCTAGCGAGCCACACTGGGAGAAAACCACGCAAAATATGAAACACCGTCATCAAGAACATCCTTAACGAAATAAAGATAATTTTATTCAACCAATTAAACATGATACAATAGATCCTTAAGTCTCCAGACGAGGTGACTGGGAGAAAAGAGTAAACAGAATTTCAAGAATAGGGAGAAAAAAAGAAGAAGAAGAAGCAGAAGAAGAAGAAGAAGAAGAAGAAGAAGAAGAAGAAGAAGAAGAAGAAGAAGAAGAAGAAGAAGAAGAAGAAGAAGAAGAAGAAGAAGAAGAAGAAGAAGAAGAAGAAGAAGAAGAAGAAGAAGAAGAAGAAGAAGAAGAAGAAGAAGAAGAAGAAGAAGAAGAAGAAGAAGAAGAAGAAGAAGAAGAAGAAGAAGAAGAAGAAGAAGAAGAAGAAGAAGAAGAAGAAGAAAAAGAAGAAGAAGAAGAAGAAGAAGAATAAAAAGAAAAAGAAGAAGATAATATAGAAGAAGATATTCAACGTCCCCTGCGCGACGCAATTTGTCGTTATTTCAAGGCCCAACCTGGCTGTTGCCGAGGGGCCGAATATAACCCAAAAGATGGGTTAAACGAGGTTTCTGTGACCTGTCCTGGGTGATCCTCATCCGAATGGTGGCACCTTGTGTCAAAGCGTGTTAATCGCACGGTAAGATGTCCTTGTTTGGTTGGACGTCAATCAGTCAATTACAGTTAAGGTACCTACTGGTAGAACTGGAAAGTTTGAAAGGGATAAAGTGCCTTTAAAACTATGTGTACAGCTGCAAATTTCAGAACTGTTTTATGTAAATATCTAGTATTATCTTGTGGCATGATTCCCTTGCAAGCAACTATCTTGACTCCCTCCCTACCACATACCCTCCCTCCCCTAACACACACACACACACAACACACACACGGAACTAGACACACAACCACACAGAAAACCAGACACCCAACCACTCACAAAACCACACTTTCACAACCATACTGACATGCAACCACAGGCAAAATCACATACACAACCACACACACACACATCTTCACACTAAAACACCCACTCGGCCATACACATACGCATACATCCATCCACCCATCCATCCACCCACCCAGCCAGCCAGCCAGCCAGCCAGCCAGCCATACACACACACAGAGACATACAGACACACGCACGCACGCACGCACACACACACAGAGAGAGAGAGAGAGAGAGAGAGACAGACAGACAGACAGACCGACCGACAGACAGACAGACAGACGCACGCACGCACGCACATACATAGATACATACATACATACATCATACATACATACATACATACATACATACATACATACATACATACATACATACATACATACATACATACATACATACATACATACATACAGACAGACAGACAGACAGACAGACAGACAGACAGACAGACAGACAGACAGACAGACAGACAGACAGACAGACAGACAGACAGACAGACAGACAGACAGACAGACAGACAGACATGGTATGTCGTAACGCATTACCAACGCAACCTAAAGACTTAGTTCCCTTGAGTAAAGTTCACTTAGTTTCCTAAAAGATATTTTGGGGCGCCCTTCCAGCCGCCACCCCCCCCCCCCCACTTCCCCCGCACTTTCCCCGTCCTCTTCTATAATTCTGTCGCGTACCTAGAAACATGCTTCCTAATTCTGGAGTGTCAGGTTCGAGCCCAGCTGCAGGCGATTTGGCAGCAAACCGTTTGGGGTTAATTTCGAGAGTGGTACCCAGAGTTGGCTGACCGATCAGGAAACAATGGTAAATTAGTTTGTTAGTTGCGTATCCTTTACAAGAAAAGATATACAACCGAATGAAAAGTATTTTAGCAAACTTCACAATATAACAAATACAAACAAAACGTGAACGTTGCGGCTATTGAGCCATTATCAGCACATACAAATTGAAAATCCTTTACAGGTCGTTGCAGAACCAACCCGAACAGCCCCTGGCTGTTGTGTGGTTTTTCTAGTCAAATTTACGTCCAGTAGTTTGATTATAAATTACTGAATGTAAAATTTGCCTAGAAAAACCTACACCAGCCAAAGAAATACAGCTGTTGGTTCCGCGACATCATATAAAGGATACACAACCCAGCTTTAACTAAGAGATCCCCCTTTAGCCATGCACAGACATGCTCTGTAATTGTTTTTCTGTTAACATTTTACTTTATTTCAAGGATATTATTATACTTTGTATCATTATCATCATCATCATCAGGTGCCTAGCCGACTGGCGTGGGCGATCATCCCTCTCCATAATCTGCGATCTCCTGCAGCATGTATCAGTTCGTGTGCCGACACACATTCATGCCATGCAACAAGACCGCCAAGCATCTTCTCTCGTTGCCTTCCTCTATCCCTCCTTCCACAGATCTTTCTAGTGGTCACAACATGTTCTATTTTCCCTCTTCTCATAACATGGCCGAAAAATGATGACTGTTCTCTTCTGATGTCTGTGATAAGTTGTCTTCGGGCTCCCGCCTCTTTCAAAACCTCTTGGTTGCTTTGTGTCATTACACACATTATTAATTATAATTATAATGTATTGAATGACAAAGAAATGTAATACTAGATCTGATGACCATCTAATTTTTTGTCTGGGAAAGGTGTACGTGGTAAAAGGGTCTATGTTGAGGGTCTGAGCTCCTCATTGTTTAAACTTTTGTTTCTGCCTAGGTGATGAGGGGGACAAACCCCAGAGTGGTAGTGGTGGTGGAAAGGGGGTGGGGAGCGAGGGAGCAGGGGCCCCATTGGCTTTTTTTGTGTATGTGGTTCACGCAAGTTGTAAAGTCGGAAGATGTGGGAGCGTGTCTGTCGTAAGGGAAAGTAGCAACAACCTAAGCAAGACCTTCGCCTGCCATCAGAAAAGTGTTGATTCAATTGTTTGTTTTCTTCCCTCTAAAATTTTACTAAGACCAAGATCGACCACGCCTAAAATGGGTATTGTCTAATTGACCTGGAAGGTGAAGGCGGCCAGCATGATGTGACCACAACACTCGCCGACTCATACTTTCGTTGACCAATCGACACTCGGTGGGCCATGTGGTCAACACTACACCAACAGTCTTTATTTCAAACGGCCTTCCCAGGTACACACTTTAGGTTGGGTAGATCTGTGACACAAGGTCAATTTAAAAAAAAAACTTTACGACTTAATTTGAACCAACTACCTTTGGGCCCGCAAGCGGCGGTTCAATCCCTTCACCAGTTTGACTCTCAACACTTTCGATAGTTGTAAAAACAACGATGGGTAAGCAAAATCGTGTTAACTTGGACACAAAATAATAGCTAATGTAAACCAAACACGCCGCTGTTAATCCGTGAATGTGAATGGGTCGTTCACATAAAACATTTGACAATACGTCTTGTCGACAGCTTCATCTCTACCGCGATAGAAAATGTTGGCATAGTTAACAAGAAGAAAACACACAAGTTGAATCTATGTTGTTGCTGCTTTCACTTTTCCCTCTGTCCGGACGATAGTGCTATTTTGCTTTGTAATGAGGCATATGAATTACAGTGTCAGTTAAGACCAGGAATGAAGTTCCTCCTTTGTACAACACAAAGCTAGGGCGTGAGTGCAAAGACCACACATTGCCTGTGTATCATGATCGCGCTCATTCTACTTTTACTCCAAAGGAAAGATTACACCCATATATTTAGAACACAGCATGCTACATAAGCTACCAGACCATTAGTAGTACTATGTCCTTCCACAAGTCGGAGATTCCCAATTACAGTGTCTGGTACTTTTCAGCTTTTTCACCCCATTTTGGGGCTGCGGGATTCGATAGGGAATTCCTAGGGAGTTCCCCAGAAGGTATATATTGATAGTGTGGTTAGGGTTAGTTTCTTCTTCCTCTTCTGTTCTTCTCCCGGAAGAGATTATCCATACTCGTAATTTGATCTCTAGTATGAAGTTCACTGTATTCTGTAATTCACTTAGCGACCCGTAAAGTTCGGCTTTAACCGGTATGTTCTTGGGCAGACCTTTGGTAGCGGGATGCTAGTTAGGGATATCTTGGGGCGGGCCCTGAAGAAAGCCATCTGTGGGTGTCGGATGGAGAAGGTCCTGAAAAGGAGCTGCAGCCTTGTTTGTATGCATACTCGCCAATTTAGTTTAGATGCAGAAATGCTGAAAGGTCAAGGAAATTTAAGGCGAAGGCGAAGTCACGAAGTGTGCAAACGGACATAGTGCTGGTGACGAGCTAACGAAAGCAACACACACTAGACAAGATGATACAATTAAGGATGAACACACAGAAAACAGATATGACGAACGAATTTTGATCGCCTATGAAAACATGTGACGGATGTTGATTGCTTGCCTGCTTGTTGTACCTCACTAAGACATCACACAAGCGATAAACACCCGGTGACACCATGCGGATGAGGATCACCCGTGGAGAGGTCCCAGAAACCCCTTTCAGCCGTTATCGCCACAACTGGGGCCCAGCTATATTCAGGACCCCGGCAAAAGCCAAGGTGAGGTTCAAATAACGAAAAACTGCATCCGACAAGGGGATGACTAGGATTCACGGATGTTATGAATTCTAAAGTAATGATGGAAAAATTTTTTATTGCCATTTATATTTTTAAAAAATGACTATATTTTATATATATATATATATATATATATATATATATATATATATATATATATATATATATATATATATATATATATATATATATATATATATATATATATATATATATATATATATATATATATATATATATATATATATATATATATATATATATATATATATAATACCTATTCAATATATACGCAGAATATATAATGACAAATGTCAAACATGACCAGACTTGTGACAGTTATGATCCGCTCAAAATT